CACCACCGCCACCGTCGGCGACCGTTTCCCTCTCTATCCACCGTAGCCGCTTTACTGTTGCCATCACCTTAACCATCATACGCCCATCATCGAACCTCACCTCACCGACAACACCCTCATCGAAAAATGCTCCTCATCATCGCACCCTCGCCCTCACCTGCTGTGATACTCATCTTGAACATCCCTCAAGAAGAGGGACAAGTAACATTCCTCACCCAACAAAGATCTTTTAAATATGGAATGAGGAGAGTTTTTTTGTGAGAGCAACAACGTGACCAAGGTGAGGAGGACGACGCGGCGACATCGGGCAACTAATGAGGAGAGATCTATTGGGCCATTCCTCGTCAGATCTGGAATGAGGAAGAACATTCTTCAACCGATGGGGATTTTCCAAACTTGGAGGGTCTCTTTGCAAGTACAATGATGGAATGGCAAAGATGGAGAGAAACGGCCTGTGGGCGAGCAGAGAAACGACCTATGGGCGAGGTAAGCAATGGTCACCCTAATACCAGCAGCAACGTGCATCGGAAGAGGAGGAGAGAGGAAGAGAAGAAATGAAGAGAGAGAAAGAGAGAGAAATTACTAGATATCTTTTTTTTTAACAAGATAAGAATTTTTCATTGATAAATGAAAATGAACAAAATTGTTCAAAGATACAAACTCTCATAGGAGTGAAGATAAGGGAAATAAATAAAAGTAAGCATTAGAATAAATAAAAACCATAAACTTAAAGAAACCTTCTTAAAGGGGAGTTATAAAAGCCTCCCAATTCATACAAAGCATACTAGGAGAATAAGAAGAGAAGAGATAGGAACGAACACACCATTGGGAGGCTTTGAATTTGGCGATTGAGAAACACTCCATAGGAGATCGATTCTTGCCTTCAAAAATTCGTTGATTTCTCTCCAACCACAATTCGGAAAGAAGAGCTTTTATTCCAAAAGCCCAAAGCAGATTAGTTTTAGAGCTTGCTTGCAGCCCACTGAAAAGCTGAAAAATGATTTGAGGCACCTCCAGATCCCACACCCATGAAACTTCAAACATAGATAGGAATTTTTTCCAACAGGCCACTGCATAGCTACATGAGAAGAAGACATGCCTTTGAGTTTCCCAACTTGCTTTGCACAGTAAACAACATGATGGCTGCATCAAAGAATTGGGCATTTTCTTTTGTAATGTCTCTGAAGTGTTAACTTTTCCCATTAGAAGAATCCAAACCATGAAATTAACTCTCTTTGGACAAAAAGAGTTCCATAGAATAGGTAGTACTTCCTTAGGAAAATTAGAAACCGAATGCCCGAATTTTCTCAACAATCGAACTGAAAATAAACCCGAAGCTTCTAATCTCCATACTCGATGATCTTCTGAATCAGTGATGGAGGTTGAAGAAAGCAAGGA